ATCAAGTAGTAGCTGAGTACTGTGAATACAAGTGGCTGGACCTATACAAGGAGAAGATTGTTCGGGCATATACAAATAAATTCACGCACTTTAGCACTATCACGACTTTGAAAGCAGAGGGCTGCCATGTGAAAGTTAAGTGATACCTTCAAATATCCTGCAATGACCTATTTTGCTTCTTCCGTTTGATGCGAAATCTCTAGAATGCTGAACACACTGAGTATGAGAATACAAAAGGTCAATGTATTATAAGTAGAGCTTTCAATACTAGAGGTGCAATCTACAATGCCGTTGCCTATAAGATTCATAAATATGCTCTTGGCCAGTGTTAGAAATTTGCTGTATCTGAGCAGACAACTTCGCAGTGTAAAGGTCTATATGCTATAGTATTTGGTATCCCTTGCAAACACACTATTCTTAAACAAATTGCTACTGCCACTCCATTGACAATACCAGATTTTCACCCCCATTAGTGGCTTGATCGCGACCAGCGTCTTGACACGCTAGAAACCCGCCCAGGAGAGCCTATACCAATACCTCAGCGGCGCCATGGAGCAAGAATCCCGCGGTGGGGTTTATATGGCGGTGGTCCCCGAGGTACTAGACGAGAACTGTCTTTCTTCAAAATTCAGGAAGCTTCCCAGTCTGGATAACATCAGCGGCAGCCAAGACGAGCGCGACCAGAAGATACTACCCATGAGTTCCACGACTCTCTTCCGCCGCCTCCTTCTCCTCAGATATCTCCTGTTCAGCAAGAAGAGGAAGAAGGATCACCATGGGTATGGTTGAAAGGTACACGGCTCAAACGATCCAAACTAATAAACTTGCCTCACAGAGGAACTCTAAGAAGACTGGCAGAGGCTCGTGTAAAGACAACTAGAAAAACTCGTGATGATCTTGAAAGAGAAATTCTACATAAATCTGCGGCACTGCGGCTTGCACGGAGTAAGATAAATGAGGCGATATCCTATATTTAAGCGACTTCGAGCACAGCACAGCCCTTACTAATAGTAGAGGAGCTAGATGACCCCGTATATCTATATAGCGATTCGGAATTGGCTGAGTCTGATTCAGAGGATGATAATTTGGAAATTATCCACCAGGATATTATGCTAGATCCACAAGCTGCAAAGGACAGCAGTGGGGGTGTCATATCATCGGAAACCCACTGCACTTAATCATCTATATCTCAAGAAGGTCATCATAATGAGGACCCTAGCCAGATTGAAAGTGTAGCGGAAGGTTCAGCTTATGAGCCGGAAAGGGTAGACGCGAATGAGGACAGAATACATGCCCAGATTGATATTGAATAGAACGATAAGCTGCGCATGGAAGCGATCGAAATTGCAAGGCTGATAAAGTCCAGAGGATTTGCACATCTGCTTTATAAGCTGGAATACAGTGACTTACTACCCTCAAGGTGTCGCCTACCCCAAGATAAACCCCCCCAGTATACTCATGTTTCCAAAGTGCCTTCCGTCCAATGCACGCCAAAGAAACCACAACCAGTACAGGATGAGCCAGGCCCTCCTTGTTTATGCTTGAAGAAATGTAATGGGTGATATAGATGTTAGAAAGCTTCAAGGCGCTGCACACCTAGCTGCCACTCTATAGGTTTAAAAAGTTCAATTATTGATCATAGGGACTCTATTCGCTGCGGGAACAACCGTTTGACATCAGATAGTAGAAACTTGTGGCCGTCCGGCTGGACAGTGGTCGAGACATTTGTTGGTACAGATGAGATTAAAGACGCTGGCATGGATGAGGAGAGGCTATGGAACACTTTTAAAGGTAATCCAGCCATCACCTTGATAAAGAGCGCAGGTGGTATTGATTCCTTCCTTATACAAGAAGGCTATGGGCGCGAATTTGGCCTTTTGAAGCGCGTCAGATCGGGTACACTTGAGACAGGGCAGTCTCCTCACGAAAATGAGGGTTGCCGCACTGGTATTTGTCCGAAGCACAGTCTTATAGGTGATGAAAGTGTTTTGGGTTTGACTGGGTGGTCCGAATAGTCTTGGTGTTACATCACCCACACATGAATAGCTGGTATAGCTCGTCCAAATCTGCTATGTATTGTTTTTTTAAGCGAGCGTAATTTTATTCATGCTGCCATCTCGCCCTAAATGATAACCAATGCGGCCTAGGGCGAGGTGGTCCAAAACAAGATCGAGGTGGTCCGAATCAATTCCCCAGCGTTTCCTCACGTCACGTGATATTGGGCACGTGCATAGACTGACAGGAACGTGCTGGATTATGTAATATACTGTGGTATCCGGCCAAATTATTGTTAGTGCGCCAAGTAAGCCACATAAACGCCATGTGTATCTTTCAATTATACTGCTTATCTAATTCACCATTTGGTATGTCCACCTTTCGTATTAATGACATCTTGACAGCGTTGCTTCATGTATCTATTAGATCTTGAAGCTGTTCTGTTGAAATTGAGTCCTAAGCCTCACGTACAACTTCACGAAGTCGATCATATGACAATATAAGATGCCCATAGTGATGTTGTATATAATCCTTCATCCAATTCCATACTGTCTCGATAGGATTAAGATCAGGTGAGAATGGTGGCCATTCCTCTTTTTTGATACCTTGTTCAATAAGATCATCTATCGTTAATTGTGCTTGATGCCCTGGTATACTATCTTGCATAAAGGAGAGACCCAGATTCATCCTTAACCAACCACGAACAACAGGTATAATATGCTCACAATATGATGCTGCATTAATTGTGCCCTAATCCTTCTCCCAGAAGACAGCAGGGCCTTTGGTATTGCTATGGAATGAAGCCCAAAACATCTATCCTTTCGATTGCCGTCTCTTGCTAACCAAACAGGTATCATCTAACTCTTCACTAGGGTATTGAGTAATCCACACCTTACGATGTTGTTACGACGTACTTCCCAGTACGACCACGTAACATGTGTCACTAGCACGTGACGCCAAGAGGCAGTCTCAGTCTTGGCATGTGAGACTATATGCAAGAGTCTCACCGTAAGCAACTGAGACCCTCATGCAAGAGTCTCAAGGTAAGCAGATGAAACTGAACACATGATGGTTTGGAAACGTCTATAAATAAGGAGTCTATGTCTTCATTTCACTCACTGTTGTTAACTGTCTAGTATATCTAGTAGTTAGTTTGAACATTGTCACGAACGGCGTGACAGCAGTGTGGCGCGGGCGCCACGGGGAGTAAAAGCACACATAGCTATCGCATGACTACTCATATATTCAAGACTGGAGCGAAACGGGTTGAAACCCCAACGGTAAGAAGATGAGACGCCTACGCGGCCCCTGCGCACCTGTGTATTTAAGATAGCTCGAGGACATACATTCGAGAGCTAGCGGATATTCTTGAATCCTACAATCTATCTCACACTCCTATCACCAATTCCTTACAATTATATCCGCTCTATATCCGATAGGGGTCCGGGATAGATAGGCTAGTGGTTAGACTATCACCTTTATTAATCATGACAACAGCATTCCAAGAGGAAACCATACGAGAAACCCCTGCAGAGCAGGAGAATCGCCTACGAGACCAAGGAGCTACACTGAATCCCTTGGAAGAAGATATCGATGAAAAAATCACGGCACTTGAAGCAGAGAATGAGATACTCGAGAAACTTGAAAAGGTGAGGCGACTCGAGGCCCGGAACCAAGCGCTGCGCAGTCGCCCCGGAAACGAGACACCAAGCGAGATCTTGGATGACCCCCCCACATCCCGTGAAAGTACGCTAACTAGGACCACTGATTTTCAACCAAAAGAGCTACCTGATTATCATGGCAAGAACACCAGGGAGCATCGCGAGTGGTTCCAGGCCGCAGAGAATGCGTTTCGCCTGGCACCTCGCAGGTTTCGAAATGACACTATCAAAGTAGCATAGTCCGCTCAATCTCTCCAAGGCACAACAGCAAGGAGCTGGAACAACTACATCGAGGTACACCCTGAGTACGCACACTCATGGGAGAAATATAAGACCTTCCTCCTTGACCTCATCGAGGCGCCGGAGAATCGAGAACTACACGTAGCAATGGCATACCAGCGTGCGGAACAAAGACCAGGACAGACGACTCAGCAGTTCTATCAGTACCTCCTCAGCCTCGAGCGACAGCTCAGTGAGGACTTCTCTGAGAACCAGCAAAGGTTCCACCTGCTAGCTCGCCTACGACCCGAACTCAGGGATCAGCTGAACCGCTACCAGGACATACCTAAGACCTGTGAATCTATCGTCGCGCTGGCAACACGCCTAGAAGGCTTGGGCAAGAAGAGGGTTAGTTCCAATACTGACAACGGAACCACTAGGAAGACCCAAAGACTAGATTCAGACAACACCTATGACACCAAGTCGGCGTCAGATCACCACAAGACCGGAAGCTATACACAAGGGTCCTCGCAGGCGCAGACCCCAGGGCATAGCCAGACCTTATATTTCATATGCAAGGACCCAGGACACTTGGCTCAGGACTGTCGTAAGGCAGGCACGACCCAACCAGGCGCATCGCCGGATAACCAGTCGGGAAAAGACTAAAGGGCGCCTTCGAACCCACAGAAGTCGTCCTAATGCAATCACTGGTGGGTACGGCGGAGCAACTGCAAGAAGGTGTTGTAAAGCGCGAGGCATTACAAGCTTCAGGAGTTATCATCCTTCCTGATAGCGAGATGGCAGTTGAAACCACACTAGACACTGGAGCGGAGCTGAATGTCATTGATCCTAAACTGGCGATGCAGCTACGACTCCCTACCGCTGACATAGCGTTACCAAAGGGTCTAGTATGGGGCAATGGAGAACGCGCACACTGCTACGGAGCCTACATGGTCAGCTGGGAAGCGACCGACTCCCAAGGACAACGCAGGAGAGGCACACACGTGGCGTACGGTCTGGAGCACGTGGGATCTCCCTTGATACTAGGGATACCGGGCCTCTATAACCAGAAGGTTGTATGCGACCTCGAGCAAGGAACATGGTACTTCAAAAGCGAAGAACCCATGATTAGTCTGATCCAAGCAGATGAAGTTGAGGAGCATGCGAGGGAGAGCGGGTATATCCTTGTCATACATGAAAATTCCCTCCTTGAGGAGGACGCGGATGACGACGACAGAGCGCAGTCGACCCCTGTGCTACCCGAAACCTATGCGGATTATACAGACGTCTTCGATGAGGAAGCTGCAGTAGCACAACCACCTCACCCAGAAGCAGAGCATGCTATTGAAACGACATCGGCACCGCCCTATAGCCCGATCTATCCACAAAGCGCGCGTGAACTAGAGGAGCTGAGGCGATACATCACCGAGGCGAAGGCGAATGGTTGGATCCAAGACAGCACCAGCCCAGCAGGATCTCCTATCCTCTTCGTACCAAAGGCGGATGGGAGCATGTGCCTCTGCGTCGACTATCGGGGACTAAATCGAGTCACGGTCAAAAACCGCCACCCTTTACCTCTGATCTCCGAAATCATAGATCGCCTCAGTGGCGCGAAGGTATTTACCAAGCTGGATTTAAAGTGGGCATACCATCGCATCCGCATTAGGCGGGGTGATGAGTGGAAGACTGCGTTTCGCACACGATACAGGCACTATAAGTACCTAGTTATGCCGTTCAGGTTAGCTAATGCCCCAGCAACCTTCCAGGCCTTCATCAACAAGGCCTTAGAAGGCTTAGTGGACACCATCTGCATTGTCTATCTTGATGACATTATCATCTACTCAGCAGACCCTAGCGAACACGAGGCACATGTGAAGATGGTGTTGGATCGCTTGCGAACCTACAGATTATATTGCAATCTGAAAAAGTGCTCATTCACACAGCAGAAATGCACCTTCTTGGGGTACATCATCAGCCCCGACGGCGTGGAGATGGACCCTCGCAAGGTGGACGCCATCATCTCGTGGCCGAGCCCAAAGACATACCCAGAGCTGCAGACCTTCCTGGGGTTTTGCAACTTCTATCGACGGTTCATCTACGGGTACTCGAAGCTGGCAACCCCACTCACCGACCTCCTTAAAGGAAGTGTCAATGGCTGAAAGGAGGGACCCTTTGTCTGGAATGACCACGAGGAACAAGCATTCCGTAAACTTATCACAGCATTTACAACAGCCCCTGTATTAGCCCATTTTGACCCAGCGAGACGCATTCGCGTCGAAACAGACGCGTCAGCATTCGCCGCAAGTGCGGTATTGTCACAATTGAATGAGGAAACTGGGATGTGGCACCCCGTGGCCTTTTGGTCGCGCAAGTTTACCTCAGCAGAGAGAAACTATATGACGTATGACCAAGAGCTGCTCGTAATCGTGGCGGCATTTAGGCACTGGCGACACTACCTTGACGGTAGCGCACACCCGATTAAGGTGATCACTGATCATCAAAACCTCACCGGCTTCGCCAGGGTCAAGCAGCTGAATGGCTGGCAAGCTAGGTGAGCTATGGCCCTATCAGCTTACGACTTCACGATTTCGCACCGTGCGGGTAAACTTAACCCCGCCGATGCGCCGTCGAGGAGGCCAGACTATGATGACGCGGAAAAAGCCGCGAATCTAATACTGCCAACATTATTTATAAAATTGGCTATAGAGCCAGAAAGAGAAATCGTGGGCGCACTATTGGCACGGTCTACAAGCGCTACGCACAGGCGAGCCACCGGCACAATAGCCCAATAGAGTTTCCTCCTACCAGTCAGTACTGGAGGGGATGACCTGCTAAGTGCGGGTAGGGAGCTAACGATGCTCCGGAGAGGCGTCAGAGAGGTGTCGTCTCAA